CTGAGTGACTCTGAGGATGAAATGAGAATGAGTGAGCAGCTTTGAGAGGAGAGGAGAAGGAGCAGAGACTGGGGGGTGGAGGAATTGGAGGAGCTAGAGCAGAAAGACACAATTTACTCTGGCATCAGAAATGTTCTAGGGTTGCTGTGGCAGGCATTCTCTCTCTCTCTCTCTCTCTCTCTCTCTCTCTCTCTAGGAGCTTGCATAGAGTGTTAGCATGCAAAGGAATCACTAGGGATGCTTGCCACTAATACCGATTCCTGGGCTCACCTCCGGCGATTCTGATTCTGCAGCAGCATTTCGGTGGAGTCTGATGATTTTTATGGGGGTGTCTAAGGACTGTGGTGTCCCAGAACCTAGAAGGAGCAGAGGGACCGTAATCTTGTTGAGGGCAGTGACCGCTGGCTTTTCTGGAAGTTGAACTTGCCCTGAAATCACATTTTTAGAAACACTTGCAGTGAGAAGTGATTTAGGGGAGCTTTGGGGAGCTGGTGGAGATTATTGGGGTCTAAAGGCCTACGCTGCCACTTGATGTCCCTACTCTCTGAGAAATACTGCCAGGAGTACTAGAAATGTGAGCCGCCTTTTAAGTACTGTCATTTCACAGAGGAAGACAATAAGGCCCAGAGAGGTTAAGTAACTTTATTGAAGTCACACAGCTAGTTAATGACAGGTTTGTGACTGTGACCAAGTATTCTGGTTCTCCATCCAGCTCCCCATTCACTGAGTACCTGGTTCCTCAAGGCGGGGAGGGGAGAGAGGTGAGAAGAGGAGATAGTGAGAACTGGAGGGAGCTGGGCCCATCCCCCCAGAGGGTAGGGCAACAATGTTGTTCTCTTCAGAAACAGTCAGATTTAGGAGAGGGATCCTTTCAGTTTGGGATTCAAATGGTCAGGCAATTGCTGTTAAGACCATTCGTAGTGTTATCTTCTAAAGGCAAGCTGTCCCGCCTAGACAAGAAATATTCCAAGTGTAAGACTTTTTTTTTCTTTTTCTAAATCCCAGGGTGGTATCCTCTACGGGAGGTCACGTTTCAGATTTTCTTCCTCGTAACAGAATCCTCATATTAGCTCTTGGCTGTGGGGGCAGCTGGAGGTGTGGGTGTGGACGCGGGCAGAGGCCCGGCGGCAGGACTGCGGCAGCGCGGGCGGGGGCACTGC